TGCACCCTGTACTCTGCACCCTCTGCTCTGCGCCCTGTTCTGCACCCTGTTCTGCACCCTGTACTCTGCACCCTGTTCTGCACCCTGTTCTGCACCCTGTGCTCTGCACCCTGTTCTGCACCCTGTTCTGCACCCTGTGCTCTGCGCCCTGTTCTGCACCCTGTTCTGCGCCCTGTTCTGCACCCTCTGTTCTGCACCCTGTTCTGCACCCTGTACTCTGCACCCTGTTCTGCACCCTCTGCTCTGCACCCTCTGCTCTGCACCCTGTTCTGCACCCTGTGTTCTCCACCCCTCTTTCTGCACTCTCTGCTCTTTCCACCCTCCAGTGAACCAGGCATATGCTGGTGTATGCCACTGAGTCACATAATATTCATATATTGAGACCTCTTCCCCTGTCTGTGGCTGAGAGATCATTCCGGGTCCTACTTGTGGATAATCACACCAGTGATTCTCCTGTTCTGCTCTCATAACTAATCACAACTTCACAGCAATTTCTACCATAATATTCTCCAAGTTTCATGGCTATTAAAATAATGTGTAAATAATGTTTATAAAATTTAGATATAAGAACTAGACTTATACCTGTCGGATAAAATGAGTGAATATATCAAATTCTTTCAGTGAAAATAAGAGAAAAACTAGCTAATAAAGAAATTTGCTTTGTCCATAGAAATAGTCCTCAGGGAAGTCTGGCCTCAGAGTTGGTTAATGCAGCAGCTAAAGAAGGTTCTTCGGAACCACAGATCTTCTGGTTTTCGACTATTTGATGCTTAGCACGACAGCTGAGCACCATAGCTCCAGGATAGCGACAGCATTGTGTAACGTTAGCATCCAGAGCTAGAAAGCCCTCCTCCTCTGCTGTGCTCTTCTCCACCCTCCCTCCGTGAATGCAGCAGTGTCTCCTCCCTTGATGCAGCCCATGCTCAGACTCTCGGCTTTCCTATAGTCCTTCTGTGTGTATCTGGCTTGACCTATGTGCCTTGAATTACACCACTCATTTCTGCCTGGTCCCACTCATTCTGTCTTGGTCATTGTGTGCCTTCTCTGTGCTGTCATTGTTGGCTCCTGTGGCCTTCTGCCTGCATTCTTTGTATTTTTCCAGTTTTACCGGGGTAAACTTTATAAATAAGAATTTGCAGGGGCTGGAGAGATGGCTCAGCTGTTAAGAGTACTGGCAGCTCTTGCAGAGGACCCGGGTTCAGTTCCCAGCACCTACATGGTGGCTAACAACCATCCTTAACTCTTGTTCCAGGGGATCCGATGCCCTCTTCTGACCTCCTTGGGCATTGCATGACACAGGCGCACTTACAGACATGCAGGCAATACACTCATACACATAAAATAATGTTTTAAAAAACAATTGTATATATTTAAGCTGCGCAAGGTGTGCTCTGATGTAAGCCTTCCTTATGTAATGATTCCCACGGTCAGCTAGCATACTCTCCCCTCCTGCACAGCCTTCCCTCTGTAACTATAAACCTAGACAAAGACAGCATGTGCTCAGCAGGATCCAGAGAGTGCAAACTTAGAGAGCCAGGGGTCAGTGGCTTCCAGGGCCTGGGGAAGTGCTTTTCTGAGTTTAAAAACTCTTGGTCACGGTGGCAGCCCTCTCTCCTGAGCTGAGGACACTGGCCATGTGGAGGTCACTCTGCTTTCTTCTGCTCTCCATGGCTTTACCTTTGCTCTAGGGCATCTCCCTCTGTTTCTCAGCACTCATTCTGTCTTAAGGGGAAGAAGGCTACATTGGAGGCCAGTTCCCTCGTTATTGCTCTGTGCTCGACAAACTCCAGGGCAAGTACTACAGCTCAGAGACTGGAGACACCTACATTCCTGTGTGTAGTGACTCTGCTTTTCAGATGGGTTTCAACTTCCAAATTCCCTGTTCAGATGACACAAACTTCAGGAGAATGACTATTAAAGCCACTAGAAGTCACTGTGGGGTTTCAACTTCCAAATTCCCTGTTCAGATGACACAAACTTCAGGAGAATGACTATTAAAGCCACTAGAAGTCACTGTGGCTCTAGGTGACCAAGGAGGTGGGCTGAGCCCTTACAGTGATGTTTCTGCAGCTTGAACCAGCTGTTTTCTCCCTAAACCTCAAGTGAGTCCCTCAACTACAGTCAAGCACTCCTGACTCTGCATGGGATGTTGCCACCACCTTTCACCCTCCACGGGGATCAGCGCCCCGGCTTGGGACTGCAGACTGCATGGCCCGCCATTTCAGCCCCTTTTCCATCAGCCTGGGGACCTTGTGGCCACCCAGGCTTTCTTCCAAAATTGCAAGCATGCTCAGAAGTGTTGGACTGTTGGACATAGTGGCCCGGAGGCATTTTGGCATGGCTCAGTAGTCACCAGGTGTGGAGAGACCAAGATTGGCTTCTTGGGGTGTGAGAGCAGGAGTGAGCTGGGGGACCAGGGGCTAAGGTGCCTCCATGGCCCTGCCCTGTTCTGAGCTCCAAGCCTCTGCCTTTGCCCTGGAAGCTGATTCTTCATGGCAGGTTATGCCCAGGCACTCACCATTGCTGGGGTCTTCTTGGGCAAGGATGAAGCCCTGTCCCCAAGAACTCTAAGTACTTTATTACTTCAACGGTGCACACAGGGGCCCAGCTCTGAGGGGTGGTCAGAGGGCCTGTGTCTGGCCCACTTTCCTCTGATCCCATCTTAGAAGACATCCCTGAGCTCCCACAGGCACAAAGTGACCCCGAGGCTTGTATGCAGGCAAGACAAGCCACACCCCTGTATCCTGCCTCCACCGAAGCTGCCCCTTGCTTTGCAGGTCATGTTTGTCTGGAGCGTCCCGCACCTGTAGGATGGGTCCCTGGGACCTGGGACCCAGGTGAACTGAGTCACCATGGTCCCTTCATGACACAGTGGGCAGGTGTTGCATAATCACAACCTGCTACTTTAGACCAGGCTTTGTCAGAGGAAAGCCTGGGACCCCAGAGCCGCTAAGCTCTTTATTTCTCCGTCCTCTTCAGCTCTGCCATCAGAAACAGGCTTCTGTGAAGTTCTCCCAGTCTTTAGTGGGTTCGGGGAGGGGGGCTCTGTGTTTGAACTTAAGAGAGCTCTATTCGCTCTTCAGACTGGTGCTCAGGATGTTCCCGATGACGTCGCGGATAAGTCCTCTGTGGAATAATTAATTGCCTATAAATGGAGACGGAGGTCCCAGGGCGGATAGGAGCCTTTGTTCTCTGCCGCGCTGGCCCCGACCACGCGAGGCGTCCTTCCTTCTCACCACTGCAGGGAGAAGGGGCCTGTGGGACCCTGGGGGCCGGTGCCCTCGGACCAGACTGGGGGACGGTTGTTAATAGTTAAAGTTTCGCATTTCGGGGAAAGCAAGATGCCAGAGCACGAAGACCCCGCAGACTCGGTGTTCTGTGGAAGAAAACCTGACGCCTCGGACGGAGGCCAGGGGCAGCTGCGCCCCAGCCCGGTCTCAGCCCCATTCCCAGCGCCTGGTCCCAGCCCGGTCCCCAACCCCGTGTCCAGCCCGGTCCCCAGCCCTGTCCCCGTTCCCGACCCCAGCTGCGTCACCAGCCGGGTCACCAGTCCTATCCGCATCCCCGTCCCTGTCCCCATCACCGACCCCAGCCGCGACCACAGCCCTGACCCCAGCCCAGTCCTAAGCCTGGCTCCCCGGGCACGCAGTGGGCACGGATTGGCGGGGTGGGGGCGGGGCTTCGGCGTGCGCTGTGTAGTAGGAGGAGGCGGGGTGGGCGCCGGGCGCGGGCGCCGATTGGTGGCAGTGACTGGGTCGGACCCGTGGGCGGGATGGCGGCGTTGATTGGCAGTGGCGGAGGTGGGCGGGGCGAGGCCGGAGCTGCCGGGAGCGGCGCTCCAGCGCAGGGAGGAGGAAGTGGCCGGGCGGCCGCGGCGCGTGCTGATTGGTGAGCGCGGGGTGGGCGTGGTGCGGCGGCGGCGCGGGTTGGTGGCCCCGGCGGCGGGCGGGT